ATGAACACACGCACCGTGTCATGCACACACGCGGTGCAACACAGAGCGTAACACGCACACGGCGGAATTCACACACAAACCCCCGACACCCCGCGCATGCGCGCCCCCACGGCGTCCGCTTCCCCGCGCGCACGCGCAGCGCCGCTCCCGCCGCGGGTGCGCGCGGTGCAGTGTGGGAAGGAGGCGGCCCCGGCCCGGCGGAGCGCGGCGCTGAATCCTCCCGGCCGCTCACAGCACTGTGGAGCCACTTCCCGCCCTGCCTCCCCTCCGGCCGCCGCCGCCACCGCCGCCTCCTCCTCCTCTTCCTCCACCCCAGCACACACCCTCCCCCCGCCGGCCCGCGGATTTAAAGGGGCAGCGGCGCCGGCCGGGGGAACCATGCCGAACTTCTGCGCGGCGCCCAACTGCACCCGCAAGAGCACCCAGTCCGACCTGGCCTTCTTCCGCTTCCCCCGGGATCCAGCCAGGTGAGATCATCTCGGGAGGGGCGGGCTGGAGGAGGGGCGCCCGGCTCTCCCCCTCAGGCGCCGCCGGCCCACAGCCTGCCTGAAGACCCGTGCCGGGGAGCCGGCTCCCTCCCTTCTGCCCGCTCTGCTTCGCCCGCGCCTCCCTCACGGCGCCTCCTTACCCGCGTGGCCGGCGGGCGCCCCGACCTCCGATGGTGCCTGCGGAGGCCGCGCTCGCTCTGGCGCCGGCGGGGCGGGGCCGCGGGACCCTCCGGGCTGTGGCGGCGGGAGGCGGGCGGGCGGCTGCGCCTGCGCCGGGACGGCAGCGGCTGCCGCCCCTCGGAGGAGTGGGAGGGATGGGAACGGCGCCGCTCCGGGGCGCGGCGGGGAGGGGGTGCCTGGCCGAGAGAGCGGTGGGAGCTACCTGCCTGTGGGCAGGGTGGGGGTGTGCGAGAGGCGGTGCGATGGATGTATGGCTGTGAGAGATGTGGGGCAGCTGGAAGGATGCCGGAGCCATGGGCTGACGTAGGGGAGCCCTGCACTGTGGGGAGCCCGCGCAGGCTCCGCACTGGCTCAAGCAGTGGAGGTCCTGCTCTGTGTATTAGGCGATGCGGTGCTGGACGATGGGGTGTGTGCATGGCGAATGGGATACTGCTGCGACAGGGAGGAACTGTCTCAGGGCTGCTGGGATGGTGGCAAAGCATCATGAGCAGCAGCAGAAGTGATGGGACAGATTCCCAATGGGTGAAAAGCGGGGGTGGTGTACTGGTAGAGCAAAAAGTGTGTGAGTGAGAGACAGTGGAAAATACTATGAAATATAAATCATTTACTTTGACATAGAAACCCTCATGTAAAGGTTCACCCTTAAATCGAGATAACACTCTTAAAATCACTTGATTTAACATGATGCTCACAATACTGAAAGGTGCATAGGCATAGAGCAATACCAGTTACCTCTTTTCTCAGAGTAGATAGTTAAGGCTGAATTTTTTTTTATGATTTATACATGATATTTACTTGCTTCCTTCTGTGAAGCTGCCTGACCTGATTTTTGGAAAATTCAAAACCCCATGGAAATTATGCATATCTAGTATTTTCTAAGGACACGGACCCTCCAAGCAATTTCAAATGAAGATACAAAAAGCTTATATAGGTAGTAGGTGCTCTCTAAAGTTGTGATTTTGGATCTGTTATGAAGTTCTCCTGGACGAACGCAATGCCTTGCTATAAAGGTTGGCTATCCAGACTTCTTGATGCCTAGTACATGAAAAGTATTGTAGTACAATCCATATTCCATATGCTTTTGCTTTAATATGAACTGTAATCAAAGTGGTTGTTTACCTGTTATTCTTTCATCTTTATGATTTGTTCCTACGGTCTCTTTCTACCTTCTGTCCTGTGAGACCTTCAGGATCTCACACAAAAGAATGTCTGCAGTTTGTGTGGAACTGAAGAAATTTTGTGCTGTCTCAGCTTCAGTCTTAATTTGTAAAAGGTCCATTCTGTAAAACAAATCACATCAAGCTGTACAGAATTTGTCAATAGGTGACAGTTTACTGCATGAAGAAAATACCCTCTTCAGTTTATAATTTTTTTATGGAAGGACATTTTGAATGAGCGCTTTCCATGGTAGCAGTGCGAAGATGTAGTTAAAGGTGTGTGACTAAATGATTACATTTTAAAGATTAATTTTTTTAAAACTCTATTTTATAAACTCTAGGATGGTTTGGATTGGAAGGAACCCTAAAGCTCATCTCGTTCCAGGCCACAGGCAGGTACACCTTCCATTAGACCACCTTGCTTCCAACCCCATCCAACCTGGCCTTGGAACACTTCCAGGAATGGGGCAGCCTCGGCTTCTCTGGGCAACCTATGCCAGGGCCTCCAAATCTTCACTGTAAAAAATTTCTTCAATATATCTAACCTAAACTTCCCCTCTTACAGTTTGAAACCATTCCCCCTAGTTCTCTCAGTACAATTCCTGATACAGAGTTCCTCTTCCAACTTCTCTGTAAGGCAGGCCCCTTCAGACCCTGGAAGGCACTGTGAAGTCTCTATACAACCTAATCTTCTCCAGGATGAGCAGCCAGTACTTTCTCATCCTGTCTCCATAGGGCAGGTGCTCCAGTTCTCTTATGTTCTACCACTTTGTGGTCTCCTCTTGACTTGATCCAGCATTTCCTTGTCTTTCTTTATATTGGGGCTTATGGTACACAGTATTTCATATGGGATCTCACAAGAGAGGGGCAGAATCTTCTGTCCAGAGAGAGGAGAAACTATACATAAACTGTTCATATCATCTTTGTGCTCTTAAAAACAGTCTGTGACAAAGATGTTCTAAGTTCTCTAGAAGTGCCCCCTTTAACATCTTAAAACTTTCTCTCCAAAATTGATCATATATTCTATTTTACAAGAGCATTTAGAGACTGATAAATCCATGCATCCTTTTGGTTTTACAGACTTGAGGGTGTTGGTTTATTCTGTGGGTTGATATACAGCAGTCTGCAGACGGAATGACAATACGTTCCTTGTACTGCTTGTTTTCACTTTTGTAGGTCAGACTGGGATGGTGAGCAAAGTACTGTGTGCCAAAATGTTATTTGCACTTGGCAGCTTACAGTGGGAAAGCTGAAAATAAAATTGTTAGAATACGTCTTAAAATAAATTTTCATTTTAAAAAATCATTGATGGCAAATGGATAGTCCTGGGTAAATTGTTTCTACTACCTTACTGTTTTCAGTATTTCCATAATAGCTGGGTAATTGCCTTTAATGTTTTCCAAGCTCAGTGCTAAGCAGTTCCAATTAGACATTCCAAGTCTGATCTTTCAGAAGTCAGTGAGAGCTAACCTGTTAAGACCACCTTCTTTAATTTTGGCTACTTGAGAAGACAGAGGTTTCAGAGATTAGCCTTTGGAGAAGAACCACCAGCATTTAATGGGTGGTAAGTTGTCTTTTCATATCAAACTAGTGTAAGTAGCTCCTGTTACCTCCATACGGTTTTGTATTTTACAGTTTCATGCAGTCTGGGCCGTGATCCCCACAGTAAGATACGTTAACTCTCGTCTGTGGTCGTGGCTCTATTCATCGTGGTGGTTTGAGTTACAGTTGAGGTATGAGTGTTCAGAACAAAATACTTCTTAAGCAAAGAGATGCTGTTCTACTGCAGTTGACCAGTACTGAGATAATACACTTCAATACTAGTAATATAATTACTCCAGCTGCATTTCAGTAAAATGCCATTTCAACTTCCATGAGATGTCTGAAAATGTAAAGATCTCTGGAAATGTAAAGTTTGTGACTGAAGAAGACCTTCAAAGGTAATGAGCAATGGCTAAGTGGTATTGAGGAAACTTTTCTGTCTGCCCATTCAGGAGCCACACTGGGAGTCCCATTTGCATGACCCGAGACTTTAATTGCTGTGACCAAAGCTCCTCCTGGGCAGGTGGCTCCAGTGAAACAAAGAGTGCCGTTTGACTCCCTGGGCATGCCACACTTGTGGTGGCAGACACGTTTCCCTTTCAGCTTCTACCCTGGGTTTTCTGTAGCAGAGTCTCAGATGTCTGGTTCCTTTCAGCACTTTAATCATATCGTGATAACAGCTTGGGCTGATGGCTCTGGAGATTGACACTGAACCAAGAAATCCCTGGGCTTTTATACCTTGTGGTGTATGCACCTATTCTGTAATAGCTGCCCTAATGATCAGCACTATTCCAAGTACAAATATAACAAAGCTACCAGGATTGCCATAGGGTAGAGTACAACATTATAGATTCCTGTGCACAAATACTTAAATGATTACCAATAAAAAATCACAATCAACTAGTTGACCATCCACTACTCATTCAATGTGAGAAGGGTGTATCCAATTTCTTTACCTAAAACTTACAGCAAATAATATATGGCAGTATATGGTCCTTCCTGTTTAACTTCCAATTTGTATTGTACTGAATATACCTTAGTTAATCCTTCATCTCTAGGTTGTTTGTCACGTAACTGTATTTTGTTTTATTTATCATTTATTATTTATTATTTAAAAGCATTTATTTTCTAAGAGTCTGGTCCTGGATATAATTCTCTGCTAAACATTATTCCTGTTGATGACCATTCTAGAGGTTAGTGAGAGTTATTTCCAATATCTTGCTATCTCATAGTACTACTCCTAAACTCCAGGCCATTTTAAATCTACCTGACTAGAAGTTTGAGCAGTCTATTACTTCTTTGTTTCACAGAAGCCTTTGGTGTGAGCTGGACAGTGTACTAAAGCGATTTGTCTTGTAAGCTTGGTAGCTTCCAGCAACACTTGTATTTCAGTTCCATTAGATACATTCTTTGCTGCCAA